CCACAACCTGCCTTTTGAATCCCTTCCTAGCTATGTGCCTGTGCGATACAGCCTGTCTGAGCCTTTGGTCTCAAGTCTATGAAATGAGGATCGCTGTTGGAAACCAGTGGGTGAGCATAAAGCACTCAGCACATCAACAGATAAAAACCCATGTGTCCCTTAGAGAAGGCTGTTTAATTGAATGTGGTTTACTGACCCTGTGGAATACCACACCAGCCCTAAAAAAGAAAGTCTGCTGAAGCACATATGGGGAAATGTGCTAGTGTCTGCAATTTATAAAATGTGCCAAAAAATACAATGGATGGAGGCCTGGGTAGACAGAGGAGTGGACAGATAGACAGAGATGAAGCCAAATATTAATTGTAGAATCAAAGTGGTGGGCACATGGCTGTTCATAGTGCAATTCTTTCACCTTTACTGTTATGCTGAAAAATTTTATAATAAAATGTTGCAGGTAGGCTGGGCATGGTGGCTCATATCTATAATTCCAGCACTCTGGGAGGCGAAGACGGGTGGATTGCTTGAGCTCACAAGTTTGGGACCAGCCTGAGCAAGAGCAAGACCCCATCTCTACTGAAAATAGAAAAACTGAGGCAAGAGGTTCACTTGAGCCCAAGAGTTGGAGGCTGCTGTGAGCTATGATGACACCATGGCACTCTACCCAGGGCAACAGCCTGAGACTGTCTCAAAAAAAAAAAAATTTAAAAAAATTTCGGGAAATATTTATCAAATGAAAATGAAAAGAAAACGGAAAGAAAGAAGAGAAGAAAAAAGGAAAGAAAAGGGAAGAGAAGGGAGGGGAAGGGGAGGAGGAGGGGAAGGGAAAGGGGAAGGAAACGAGGAAGCTCCTGGACATAGGACCATGTCTTCTCCATCCATAGTACAGAAATGACCTTCCAGACATTAAATGAAGAAAGCTCAGTGCAGAATAATGTAGGTAAAATGTAGCCATTTGTTAAAAATAAAAAAAAAAAAACCTAACAAAAGCAAAGAGCTGGCTGAAAGATGAAGAGAGTATTTTTGACAAGTAAAAAGGAAACTGGGAAACGTATGTTCCCTCCAGGGAGGTAAGCTGAAGGACTAGGAAACAGGAATGAGAGGGAGATTTGTTTCACTAAATATTCTTTGCACTTTTTGAATTTCCATACCATGTGCCTGATTCACCTGTTCAAAAATAAATAGATGGATACAGGGCTTACACAGGCCCCAGCACATCATAAGCATCTTGATGAATGGTTTCCATTTTACAGATGTTCATTCAACAGTGTTTGTTGAGGTGCCGCTGCGTACTGGCCACTATGCTACACGTGGGAGATGCAGTGATGAGCAAGAAGACAAAGTCCCTGTCATCACAGTGGGAAAACCTGACAAAGGGCAATAAGGAAATAAGTCCAGACTGCAACCAGTGCTGAGGGCTTGGAAAGACACAAACAGGGTGACAGTGTGTGAGCTAATCTAGTGGAAGGGTGGTCAGGGAAGGCTTCCAGAGGGGGTGACATTTCAGCCAAGATTTAAAAGATTAGAAAGAGCTGTCCAAGGGAAGAACGAGGAGGGGGAAGGGCATTTCAGGTTGAAAGAACACTGAGTGCAAAGGCCCTGGGGCTGGCAAGAGCACATGGGTTGGTGGAATGGAGAGATGCCAGCATCTGGCTGGAGTATAGAATTCTCCATGGTGAATTTGGAAAGGTAGGAAAGGCCAGATCAGGCAGGCCTTGTGGTATGTATTCTGTAGCTGTTAGCAGGGCCATGAAATGCTCTGATTTGCATTCAGAAACTCCCAATGACTACCACAGGAGGATAGGCAAAGGAGGCAGGGAGATCAGGTGGAGGCTCAGAGAGGTGCTAGTACTTGCCCAAGGTCACACCGACTATAAATAGCAAGGCCAAAATTCAAACATAGTTCCTGCGATGCCAGAATCTGTGCTTCAAAAAATATCCCTCAAATACAGGGGTGACCTCTAAAACTGAAAGGAAAACCAGAACCCAAAGGTCCTTTTGGGAACGACAATCAAAAAAGCCAGGGACAGAAACCCATAAGGAAAGTGGGTACTTGCACCTGGGCCATCTGTCCTCCCTGGGTCACCAGGAGACAGGAAGTGAAGGATGAGGCAGTAGGTGTCCCCAAGCCCAGGTAAGGCAGGTAGAACTTAAAGGGGGAAAGCAACAGAGGCCCACAGGAGGCTTTGGAGCCAAGGAAGGGCCAGGTCTCAAGCAAAGCTAGGTTGGGTCAGGGAGGGGCTCACTCACGTCTTTTCTGGCTTTTCTGCCCCAGTTCTGTGGGCACTTCCACGCTCTCACCGATCACTTCATCTGATCCTATGTGCTCTACTTTGGAGATAAACCAGAGAATAACTCACCTGACCAGTGGAGAGGCCCAAGGTGATCCTCTATTGTCCCTATATTGGGGAAAGGCATCTGACCACTCATGGAGGTGTGGTCATCTGGTATTATGGTGCTCCCCAAGGAACAAGGAAGAACACTCAGCCTGAACCAAGCCACCACCCTCCCCCAACCCAAGACTTACTGAAAATGTCTTTGCTCAGTCCCTCCAGCTGGGAATCCTGGAACACATACTGGTCCAGTTCCGCTGCTCAGATGAGGAAAAGCTCAATCAATCAACAAGGTCTCACTGAAGGCCCACTGTGTGCCAGGCCTTGGGTTAGTTACTAGGAAGCTGTTACCCTCTGGGCCTGGCACACAATGGGGAGGCTCAATAAATATTTGCTGAATGAATGATCAAAATTAATGAATGAACACTGACCCTTCATGGACTTGTAAGCTCATTGAGAAAATGAGGTATTGATTCATTAAAAACTGATCTCCGACTGTAAAGTAGTGCAAGGCAGAGTGGTAGAATTGGCAAGGGGTTTGAATTCAAATTTCACTGCTATGCTCCACATGCCCTACTAGCTGTGTAACCTTGGGCCTGTTACTTAACCTCTCTGGGCCCCATTTCCTCATCTATGCAAGGAGAATAAATAACACCTACTACACAGGGATAGACAATGATGACTAGAGGCTCTGTATTTAAACCATTCAACACAGTAGCCAGTACACAGCACACACAATAAGTAGTGGTTAATTATATAAAGTGGTACATGGCTCAGAGCCTCCAGAAGAGAGTTATCATGGGAGGAGGTCAGGGCATCAGGAAATCAGGGAAGGCTTCTCAGAGGAAGGGATTCTGGATCCAGCACTTGAAAGATGGGGCAGAGTCTGAGAGACAATGGATAGCTTTGTGGGTCGTGGTGACAGAGTGAGAAAGGTATCCAGCATGTTTGGGGAACTCTGAGAGGTAGATGGCTATGGTAGAGTTTTCATGCTGGGGAAAGTTAGGACTTGATTTTATAGGCAATAGGGAGCCATGGAGGTCTTCTGAGCTGAGGGCTGGAATGAGGGCAGTGATGATGATGGTGACAATGGTGATGACACTGTTGTGTGGTGGCAGTGTCCCTTGAATGCTCACTCTGGAAATCCCTTTTCTAAGTGCTTCATACACAGCTACTTGTTCAATCTTACAATGATCCCATGAGGTAGACGTGATTACCGCTTCCTTTTATGAGCACACATGGAAGCAAGACACCTCAAATGAGTACTCGTGCAGGCCTGGGCTTGGCCTTCTGGAACACAGAGAAAACCCATAGATTTGAGGAGCAGACTTAGGCAAAGTGCCTGCTATGCTTTGAACATTCATCCCTTCCAAAATATGTATTGAAATTCATTCCCTGCTGTGGCAATATTGAGAGGAGAGGCCTATAAGATACGACTGGAAGCTCTAAGAGGTCTTGTGAATGGATTTGTCCACTTATGGATTGATGGGTTCATGGGTAATGGGTTAATGGGTTATGATGGGAGGGGGACTGGTGGCTTTATTAGAAGAAGCTCTCTGAGCTCTCTGAGCTTCTGAGCTACGATGTTCAGTTCTCTTGTCATGTGACCTCGCTCCACCTTGGGACTCTGCAGAATCTCCACCACCAAGAGGGTCATCACCAGATACAGCCCCTCAACCTTGGATTTCTCAGCTTTTGTAACTATGAGAAAAAAATTCCTCTTCTTTATAAATTACTCAATTTCAGCTATTCTGTTCCCAGCAACAGAAGACAGACTAAGACACTGCCTCATTTAATTGCTTAGGCAGCTTCTCATACCTCTGGAAACCCCCCTAAAGAAGGAAAAAACTCCAAATCCTGAAAGATGCCAAAATACTTAATTACTGCCTGAAGTTTTGAGGAAATGTGAATGCTCTCATCCCCACACACTTCTGCTTCCTCTAAGTAAATTCCCAGGAAGGGAAGGAAGCAGGCAAGCTCTCAGTTCTGTAATTTCTGAGACGGTACAGTTACTGCTTGTCTCTAAATTCTGTCTTTGTGTGATGTTCAATTAACTGTACTCTGGGGGGAAATTGGCCACATTTGTGCCAGGCACAAACCTGCTGAGTATTATGGTTCCTGGGTTTCCACCAAGGGACACTAAATACAATCATGCAGGTTGGCCACTGCACAAAGGGTACCCTAGCCAGGAGGGCAAACGGGAGCCGGAATCCAGCTTGTGCTTTGCTAGCCAGGCTGTTACTTCCTGGGGTAGACTCCAGGAGAAGAGGCGCCCTTTTCTAATTCCACAAGAGCTCTGTATGAGAAGTGGTGATACTGGTGAGGAGGGATCCTCTACTCTCCCCAGCAGCAGCAACAAAACTTCCCCCCAAAGAGTTCTGCCTTGGTCTGAAAGCTTTAGAAACTCTTTTTAAAGTTGCAGACCAGCTGCTCAGCTTGAGCCTTAGCAAAGGTCCCAAAACCACTTTCCTTTCTGTGGCTTAAAAATGAGGACTTTGAAATGAGTGTACCTAGGTTAGAATTTCAGGCATGCTCGTTACTTTCTCACTGCAGCCTCTGATAGGTCGGTTCACCTGTTAAAACCTCAATCTCCTCGTCTGCAAAGGAGAAGCGACAACACGTGCTTCCTTTGTTGTTGTAGAGATTGGAGGCAAGATGCATGTGGCAATTAACATATTACCAGTTCCCGGTAACTGGGAGTTACTATAAATACGAGAGTAGTTTGGCTGAGGAGCTGGGAAGGAAAGGGGAAAGTGTATGGTGTGTGCTTTCTGGGAAAGACAGAAAGAAGAGCAAGAAACTGGTTGGAAATGGAGGCAGAAGAAGTAACCGTGCGATTTTGGTTGCCTGGTGGTCTTTAGTGGAGAGACCTAGTTCCCTCACTGGCCTCCATCTCCCTTCCTCCCCGAAGCCTCCATTCTTCAGGCCCTATTCAGCGCTCCCTTGCCGTGATTTCTGAGAGAGGGGCCTGCTGAGGTCCCTGGTAAATGGGTGCGATTAACAAACAGGACAAAGAACGCTTTTCCTCAGGGCCGTCCTCACCGATATTGGCATAAGCCTCCCTGGTCTCTTCATCGCCTTCTATGTCACACAGCAACCGGCTGAACTGTTCGCAGTTGATGGTGTCTGTGTCGGGTTCTGGGAAGAAAAGTCCCTCGGGTGAAGCAGGGGAGGTTTGGGAAGAGGGCTGGTGGGGACGGAAGGAGAGACGGGGCCGCGCGCAGGCAGGGAGCTGTCCGCGGTTCTGACCGGAGCTCCGCGGCCAGGCCCTGCCCAGGGTGTTGTATCAGGCAGCTGAGGGGTGGCCAAGAGGCAGAGCCCCGAGGGAAGGGAGCTCACCTGAGCAGAGCTCAATCTCTTCTTCTCCAGCCAGGTCCATCTGGTCATAGAAGTGGTAGAGGTGCCAGGGGTCGGCATTGCTGTTGAGAAGCTCCAGGTACCCGCCTTCTAGAGGCCCCAACTCCATGGCAGCGCGCTGCCCAGTGCCTGGGAGAGAAGCCATGCTCAGTGATCAAATGGGGTGCTGGAGAGAGGCAGAAAATTTACGCCTACTGCAGTTCCCAGTTGGTGAGGGCGGAGTTGGGGAGAATGAAACAGTTAACCATTCAGCATGCTCAGGGTGAGGAGAGAGGCAGCCATATCCCTTTCCTCTAAACAACCACATTGGGAAGATGCCCATGAGACAGAAAAGGGAACTGGGGAAGTGTAGATTCAGGGGTCTCATACCAGGGAGTCAGGAGACCTGGGTTCCTAGTTTGGTACTGCTATGAAAACACCAGCTAAAAGAGGAGAGAGTGGGGAGGGGGAGATGTGGGAGAAGGGAGGTATTCAGGGGGGCCTCACCTAATGTGCATAATGCAATGGTACATTTCAAAACTGTTAAGAAATGAGTATAATTGTGATGAATGCATTACTTAGTTCAATGTAAACATTTCACATTGTATATTGAAGCAGTACCCCAAACCCTATAAATGCATCAATGTACAAAGTTATGATTTAATAAAAAATAATGTAAAAAAAGAAAGAAAAACACCAGCTAAGACTTATAGAACACAGTAAGTGCCAGGCACATGAGCTGGCACACTTGATTCTCACATTGGCAACTGTGCGAGGCAGGCCTATTACGATCTCCATTTTACATGTGGGAAAACTGAGGCTCAGAGAGGTGACATGATTGACATAAGGAAATCCAGGTTCAATTCCCCCGAGTTTGAACCCAGGCAGTGAGGCCTGAGGACCTGCATTGAACTGCAGCGCTCTACTGCCTTGGCGGCTTATGCAAGTCTCTTCTCCTCTCCATGCCTCAGTTTCCTAATCCGCAAATTCAAAAAGTCTAGAAAGATTCTAAGATTCCTTCATTATAATTTATTGAAGTGTATATTAAATGCTTTGAACACTGCCTCATTTAATCTTTAAAGCAATCTCAGACATGTCCACACAAAAATTTATACATAAATGTTCATAGAAGCATAATTCATAATAGCCATCATAAATATAGAAACAACCCAGATGTCCACTAACAGATGAATAGACAAGATGTCATCTCTCCACATAATAGAAGGTTACTTAGCCACGAAAGGGAATGAGGATCGACAGGTGCTGCAACAGGGATGAGTCTGGAAACATTATGCTGAGGGAAAGAACCAGACACAAAGGAACACACATCATACGGCTCTGTTTATATGAAATACTCACAGTAGGAAAATCAGGAGAGATAGAAAGATACGGTGGTTTCCTGAGGCTGGGGAAAGGCTTGGGGGGGAATGGGAGCAACTGGTGGTGGTTATGGAGTTTCTTGGTGGGGAGTGATGAAGAAAATGTTCTAAAATGAACAGTGAAAATGATTGCACAACACTGACCATTGAATTGTACGTGTTAAATGGGTGAATTGTACAAAATATGTGAACTATATCCCAATACAACTTTTAAAACAAAATAAAACCTGGCAGGTAAGCAGGTGCCATTTTGCAGATGAGGAACTCAAAGCTCAGAGCAGTTATTACCAGGGAAAGTCAATTTTAAGCCCCATCTGTATGACTCTGGGCCCCTGTCCTGATCCCTGGCTCAGGTCGTCCACTCTTCCAAGCTGTACTCATTCCCTAGAATTGAAGGAGCAAAGTGCCACCAGTCACTTAAAACAACAGGACTTCATTCTCTCACAGTTCTGGAGGCTGGCAGTCAAATCCAGGTGTCATCAGGGCCACACTCCCGCCACGGGCTATAAGGGAGAACCCTTCCTTGCCTTTTTCAGCTTCTGGGAACCATGGGTGATCCTTGACTCGTGAGCTTGTGGCTACATCACTCTGATCTCTGCCTTAGTGGTCACATCATCCCTGCTTTATGTTTCAATTTTCCTGTGCCTTTCTCTTATAAAGACACTTGGCATTGGATTTAGGACCTACCTGGATAATCCAGGATGATCTAATTACAAGATCCTTAATTCTATCCACAAAGACTTTAGTTAAAGTCACATTGACAAGTTCCAGGGATTTGATATGGACACATATTTTGGGGGGCCACCAGTCAGCCCACCACACATGGGATACAAATACCAGCTGGAAGGAAACAGAAAAATTATTGAAGGAGATGAGAGGAGTGCTGACCCGAAAGCCAGAGCATCAGAAGGACCTCCTAAGTGTACCGTCCTGGGCCTGGAAGAGAATAGGGCCAAAGTAGGGCGGGGTATCAGGTGGTTAAGGTGGTGAGGAAACACATGCACCCGACTCATGACCCCTTTACAGAAACTCCTTTTCTTTCACATGTCAATGGCTCAAATAGCACAGAGAATAAACTGCCCCATCTGACTGGGGTCCTGGCTGAGGCTGCCTGATCACAGCACAGTGAGGAGGGCTGCGGAAACATCAACACAACAGGCTTGCAGCCAGGGCCCTGCCAGCCGTGACCAGAGGAAGCAGAACTGAAAGACGGGGCCACCACCCTTTTCTAGGAGTAGGGCTGAAGCTGAGAGATGGAGAAGGGGGGCTTTGCCACCTCTGCCAGTACCTTGGTCTGGGCTCTCTGACCACCTACTGTCCTCTCCAGGATGGTAAAGGGAGACTCCCTGCCCTGCATCCTTCCCGCTGTCTGCCTTCCATCCAGTCTGTGGTATTTCCTGAGAGCCCATACTGTAGCAATCTGCCTTTTTGGAGGCAGTGTGATCTGGCAACAACAGCTCCAGGCCAACCCTAGCAGTTCCATGAATGAGTTGTGTGGCTTTGAGCAAATTACCCAAACTCTTGGTTTTCTCACAGAGCATAGGGTCTGCCAGGGACTCTGGAGCTCAACCTCCTTCATTCTACAGATGAGAAGACTGAGCCCCTAAAAAGGAGCAAGACTTGCAAGAGATCCTACAGCCTGTCGGCGGCCCGGCCTGCACGTGATGTCCCCGGCATAAGACTCCTAGCCCCATACTCTTCCCTCCCATAAAAATGCTCCCATTTGAATGATCACCCCATCATAACTAGGCATAAGCCCGCAGTCCAGGTCTTATCTCCAAGGGGAGATGGTGGCAGGAACAGCAGGGAGGAGGCTGAAGAAGTTTAGCTTAGCCTCACTTAAACACAGACTCAGCTTTGCACCTTGGACAGCATTGCCAAGTGTGGTTAAGCAGAAAAACAGGAGAGACACTGACAGAAGAGAAAGAAGCCAGCTCACGTGAGCTGCGGAGTCAAATTGCCTGACTCTGAGCCTGCGCCTACCTACCAACTCACCGCAATCAGACAAGTTCATTTTTTAAGTGACTTAGAGCCTCAGCTTCCTCATTTGTGAAATGGGAATAATAATTGATAACTCATAAGGAGTGAGTTAGTTGATTCACCTGGAGCCCACAGAAAGGGGACTGGTGGGCACTGGTTGCTCCATGAACGGGACCTTAGAGCAGCACCAACGCACACATGGGGAGAAAGCAGGCAGGTGGACCTTAGTGCTGTTGTTAATTTGCCTCTTTCCTCTGTGAGGGTGACAAAGGGACCTTTTCTCTTCCATTCTTTCCTGAGTCATCACGTTTGTGAAGCCAAATAAGGAAACCCCACAGACCCCACAGTGTCGAGAAAGGCCCACGCCAGCAAGGCAGCTGGGATGTCTGGGCCACACACACCCACTGTCGTCACCAGCAGGGGTAAAGTTACCCAAAGACCCAAGTTCTAGGTCATCAGCTCAACCTGAAGAAACCCCCAACACAACACAGACCTCCCATCCTGCTTCCCTAAGACCAGAGCCTACAGCTTGAGCACTTCCCCTTGGGGAGCAGGGGGTTTGCAGCTCACACTGCCCCCCTGCCTCCATCCCCCCCATCTGAGTTCCCAAAGAGCTCTGGGGAGAAGGCAAGATGGAGTATCACGCCCATTTGGTGGAAGAGAAGATTCAAATGTGTTGCCCAAGGTCACGTGGTTTGAGATCCTGTGCCTGCATCCTGGCTGTGAAGCCTCAGGCAAATCACTTAAGCTCTCTAAGCACCTGTTTTCCCACCATTAGATCCAGAAAATAAAGAGGACTTTGAAGGATCATCAAAAGGCCTAAACAGGCTTAATGCAAGTGCCAGCCACACAGGACACCTGCGGTCAAAGGAAGCTCTTCCTGCTCGGAGGTATCAGAGCTGGGACTCAGCCTGAGACTTCAGACTTCCCAAATGCCACAGCCACCTCCTAATCATTCCAGTATCTACTTGGATCTTGGCCTAGGACATCCCTTTGTTCCCAGAGCCATGTTTTCCACATATTTATAGATACTTAGGAAGTACTGCAAAGGGCACTTGAATAGACTCTTTCCCCCTGCAATTCCAGAGGGGGCTGGGAGCAGAGATGGCACTAACCAGCCCACCTTAGAGGAGAGGATCCCTTCAGCTGCCCTGGCATGGGGCAGATCATACAAGTCAAAGCCTGTAAGGTCATGACCCCATCCGTTGAGCTGATTTACTTCCAGCCTCACATGTTTCTGTACATGGCTGACCCTCCACCCTAAGGAATGTTACAGAACCAGAATTCTCAGTGCCTACTGAGCATCAGGCACAGATGACACAGGACAGCCATAGGTCTAACTTACACATTAGCTGTTTATATTCCTGTTTTTTGGACAAAGAAGGGGGCTCAGAAAGATGAGTAGTGACCAGGTCGCTGGCTTCAAGTCCTCTGTTCTTCCCTCCCCCACATCCCCACTCAGCGACCCAGAGGAGGTGCCCTCGCCCAGTGAGGGAAGGTGTGGGTGGCAAGACAATTTCTCCTTTTGAGGCGTTGTTTGGCGCAGAGCAGAGGCGTGGTCTGTGTCTTTTTGGTAAACGGATAGTATTTTTAGAAGGTCCTCTTTGAAACTGCCCTCCCCCCAGCCCACCACATCCAACTTGAGAAAATGTCCCTAATCTTCTTGCCACCAAAAGTCCTTTCTGGGGAGATTTGTTTCCATCCCACTTCTTACTACATGCAGGTTTTGAGAGACTATAGGCACCAGAAAGGCTTCTAAAATAAAAATATATCCTTCTCTTCCCTGAGGGA